CTGGCATGTGGTGCTGGGGGATTGAACCGTGGTCCCTGTGCTTTGCTAAGCTTGTTCTAAGTAGGTGCTTTAGACCACTGAGCCATCTCTCCAGCCCCAAAAGCTGGAGTTCTTTTCTATTTACTTCTCATTGAAGAATCAGGTGCTTTTCTCAGCTCAGACCAGTGCCACTGTGTGCTGATGAGTGGTAATATCAACGTGGGCTTTCAGCAAGCCTGGCAAGGAGGCCATGTCCTTTACAGAGCAGATCTGCATTGGCTGCGCTCATCTCTGCTCCATGCATCTGATGCCACCCCTGGCTCCCAGGGTAGGGCTGTGACCTAAGTCAAGATAGCTAGTGCCCTCTCCACCCCGGCCACAGTGACTGAAGCAGAGATAAGCCTGCGACTTAAACCAGTAGGGCAGGGAGAATGCCAGGATCTTCTCTAGGAATGCCTGGCCACCTGGGCACCTTGGCAGGTGGATGGTGGGTCTGGATCTGCCGTGGCTGCTGTTCCCATGAGGAAAGCCAGCCTAAGAAAGACGCTGACTCACAGGGGACAGAGGATGGAAGCCCAGCCCTGAAAACATGCTGAACCTCTATAGTAATCCATCCTTCCTTTGAACTTTGACTCATAGGAGAAAATAAATTAACTTCATTTTTCAAGACTGTTTGAGTTTTCTGTTATTTGTGACCAAGAAGGCATTTTTAGGTTGAGTCATCCTGATTCTAAAATCATGTCTTTGATCTTTTCCACGAAGAGCTCCCCTTCCCTGCCATGCCCTTCTCTCACTCCACTCTTCTCTGCGCATCGGCCTTGACACTAAATTAACTACTTAATTTGATGCTTTTCAGTTTTTGCGAAATTTTCTCCCATCCAAAGTGAGCTCCCACAGTCGGCAGCCACTCTCTCTGGTATCCCTGATGCACACACAATACGAAGCTTGGCATAGACAGTCTTCAAAAAAAGCCTGTGCCTGGCACGGCGGTGCACATCTATAGTCTCAGCTCTTTGGGAGGTTGAGTCAGGGACATCACTTGAACCAAGGAGTATGAGGCCACCCAGGTTACACAGAGAGACCCCATCTCAAAGGAAAGAA